CTCTCGCTCTGCCTCCTCTTTCTGAGCACTTAGGCAATAATTCAGCTGCACTGCAGCTCTGCTCTCCAAACTCTTTGCAGCTTATGAGCACAACCCTGTGCTGCTATAAGTAGGTGTAGTCCCCGCAAGCTGTTGCAGGAGCCCCCCGGCCACACGTCCCTGGTGCTGCCACCACCTCCTGGCGGTGTGGCCACGGCAGCGAGCCCACCACGCTGCGCCACGGCCCCGTGACAGCGCGCGGCTATTGACTCAGCTGCTCCCGCCTGTTTTCCCAGCAAATTAATCCCCGCTTGGGTTTCTCTCTTGTCAAGGGGAGAGCGAGCTGCTGGGCTGCTGGAGGTGGCGGGGGGATGCAGAGAGCTGAGCGGTGCTGTGTTTTGGGCAGACTGCATCCTGATAAAGTGCCATAGGCATTGCCCTCCAGCAGTTTGACCCTACTTTTTTTTATTTTTTTTAAATATATATATTTTTATTTCCCTCCAAAATGCACTCTCTTTTACCCATTTGACTTCCCTTTTCATTTTAGTTCACTGTGTTTCTTTGCAACATCAGACAGAGATTCTCTCCTGAGAATGGGATATTTCTTTTTTTTATGCCCACTACAGGTTTAACTATCAACAACTGGAGAGCTTTAGATCATTCACTTTTATTCTTTACTATTTCTAGCAAAACACAAGGGTAGTTATGGCATGAGATTGAGAAGAATGATGTAGCCACACCTCAAATTCAGCATATATACCTTTCAAAGGTATTCTAGGCTGTGAATAACCACAAAGGGGAATTATGAGGAACAGGTTGATTTTCACCGGGAGGTTTTAGCAGGGATTTTCTTTTGCCAGAGCTTTCTGGTGTATGAACAGCAGTCGTTTCCTTTCTGATCAACAGAGGACAGTATTCTTATATTCAGAGGCTGCAACACGTCTTCATAGCACAGCAGCAGGCTACAGCACAGATGTAACACCATGCACTGAGAAGCTGAAGAGAAATTAAGGGATCTGCCTTATACTTCTCCTCTGGGTAAAATCCACCACGTCACAATCTGGATGATGGAAACTGGATAAGTGGGTGCCAAGTCTTGTAAAATCTGATTTACTCAACAAACCGTCACAGGATTTGGAATTACCATAAAATCTCATCATTTCTCCAGTTAATAAAACACTCATCAGAAGGGACTGTTATAATCCAGCCAGAGATCTGGCAATGACCATTCATTTAACAGGGCAACACACACCAGAGCTTTCGATAAATAACAAAATTTGAAGTAGAGTCCCAGTCATTTGCAATTCTCCGTTACCAAAAAGCCATCCACAGCCCTGGGGATTTTATTTCAGTAAATAATGTAGTGTGGAGAAAACTTATTGAACTGAATTCCTGGAAGTTTTCAGAGATTTCTGGGCAGAATGGCCCTTTGCACAGGATCCCTGTGTCTCATGCTCTGGTATGTGTGCACCCAGGAGGAAATTCCTGCCAACAGCAGATTTTTTTGCCTCTGCACATGGGGCTGTGGGGGGATGCTCCTGGGTCCGAGCCACAGGAATCTCTGTGCTGCAGGTGGTGGCCTCTCTGCAAGAGGGACTGAGGAGCAGGGGGTTAGGACGGGCTGGGTCTCCAGGCAGAAAATGTGCACTTTTCCAGGCCATAGGCTAAAGTAACAAAAAATGAGGAGTTAGGCTGAACCCAGGATGGGTGGGAGTAAATTCCTTTCCTGTAAGGCCCCGCAGGATTCCCTGTATCAAGTTTCGTAACTCCTGGATTTGAGCTGTAAGGGAGGAGCACACAAACCCCACTCTCCTTATTTATTTGCAATGTCTTTTGCTCCCACAAATTTCAGCTCTGCCAATCTAACTAGCTCACCAAGCTCTTGCTGGGCTGGTTCATCTGTCAAACATTGAGTATCAGTCCTTGCCTCCAACAGTGTGAAACTCAGTTACATTGACCGGGGATGAATTTGTACTTTTAAGATGAGCTGAAATTATAAATTTTTGTGCTTTTGAGGTGCAAATGCATTGACTTATCTGCTAAGATCTGCTGGCACAAGACACCCATGTCCCGAGCTCCTGGACCTATTCCTGCTCAGTGAAACTGAACCTCTGCCTCCCATCTGGTGATGCTAGCAAAGATTTTTAGATAAGTTTCAGGATTCTGGGACGAATACCTGACCCCGTGGGGGGGCTCGCTTATCGCAGCTTCGTGAGTGGGGATGTATCCTGTCCTCAGCTCAGCTCTGTGGGAACTCCTGGCAGGAATGGCTTTGGGCAGCAGTTTCCAAGAAGGAATTAGATTTAGTTTATAAATTAGTTCCTAAGCTAGGGGCCAGGGTCATTAAAAGTGGAATCTGCCCTGGGGACGGGAAGCCTGCCTGTGTCCAGATTCCTTGTACACTTCTAGAAGTTGCTCGCTCGCATTTTAAACATGGGTTTGACACAAAATACATGGCCCGAGCCCAGTGGAATTAAAGCTTAATGGCTTTACCCAAATTTCCTCTCTGCTGAAGAGGAAGCAAAGAAAGCCTCAGCCATCTTCCTCCGGCAGCTCTCCTAATGTATTCTTCAGACTTCGCAGGCATTTTTGTCGGGGCACCTGCGGCGCGCTTGGTCCCCCAGGAAGGGCTCCCCGCTCTGCGGCTGCCAGGGTTCACTTGCTCCTTGAAAAGTTCAGCTCGGGACCATCCCAGGCGCATTCCTGCCGCCCGGCTCTGGATGAATACCTGCCCCATGTCTCCCACCGAGCCGCCGGCCCTCCTTGCTCTAAAGGGCTGATGATAAATCATTCCTCCGAGCAGTGGCAATTTCATGGTTCATTGGGCACAACCACTCTGCATTTTCCCCCCTAGATAATCAAGCTATTACCAGACAATGAGGAACAGATTGCATCTACCAGCGCACCCCAGAACAATGGGCCATATATCTCTGGCATCTCCCATGCCAGTGATGGAAGGAGGGAATATTTTGAATGGGGAGAGGAGGGCAGGTAATCCCAGGTATTTTAGCATCGTTTTGTCTGCCCCATTATCTATTGCCAAGGGGAATCACATCCTTGGGTTCAGCCAGAGCTGGGCTGGAATAAACTGGGATTTTAGGCCTGGTGTTTTCCATTTATTTTATCTCACCTATCACATTCCAGGATCAGTTCCTCCTCTTCTCCTCCTCCTTTATGATTTACAATAGCTGAAGGCATTTTCAGCTGATAAAAGGCACTGGGACACCTGAGTGCCTCACAACCTTTGTCTTTCCCAAACAAGTGCTCCCTTTCCTTCCGCCCCAATCCTTAAGATAAGGATTCATTTCCAATGTGCAGCTGGGAAACTGAGGCACATTTAGCCGTGTTTGATATCTTCACAGCACATACCAGGACAGCCTTCCAGGTGAAATTCATGCCGCATTCCCAGGGCAGGTGAGTTTTCTGCTGGGCACGGCCAGTCTGCTTATAGGCAGTTGAGTTGCAGCATGCACCATGTGTATGGATGCCCATGGAGAACCTACACAGCTTTCCTGAAAGTGTATAAAACATCCACAGAAAGATCAGGGCTTGTACTTTTTGCACTAGTAGACACGCCAAGGCATGGAAAAACATTTTTCTTTGATAGCAGAGGGAGAATCTGAACTCTTTCACCGCTCTCTCATTCTGCAAGGTATAGCATTGCTCCATACAAGAGTTACGAAGTTTTGTAAGGTGACTATGAGCAAGTCTTACATCAAGTCTTAAAAGTAAATATGAAAATGATCTATTTAATAGAACAAATAGCAATATGCAGATTTGTCTGTTGGAAGTAAGAGTTGGATTTGAGATTGCTTCTTCTCAAATTAACTATAGGTCTAGACAATTATTCTAGAGCTTTCACAGTGGAACAATCTCCTATAATGTTATGTCTTTCTAAATCCACTTGTTTTACAGCTTTGCTGCTCCTTTGCTCTTATTTAAGCTCCTGACTCAAATGATTTTGTGCTCTCTGACTTTTTCAGACAACCATACCGTGTCCTTAAGTTATCCATAGTAAATAAAGTAACAGTCATAATTAAAAATAAACAGGTCAAAGGATGAGATGCCAGGTCTGATGTGCCACCGAATCACTTACCAGAGGTAAAATATTGCTGCATATTATGGAAAGTTTAATCAGCCAAAGAATTCCATGCAGTTGTCTCCCTTTAACATTCCCACTCCCTTCTTCTCTCCCCCCCAAGAAAAAACCCTTGAAGTGAAATATTTATGATTTTAATAAATTAAAGAACATGGCTAATTAGCTCCATCATCAACACCCACAAGGTTGTTAAAGTGACTGAGAATGCTGGAGTTTAATATTGCTCCAGCCAGCGAGGCAGCGAAGCGTTTGGTTCACGAGATGACTTGGACACATTGCCCTTCAGGGTATGCAGAGCGGCTCCTCCTCAAGATAATATAGATGCTGTCCTTGTCTTGGTGGGCATGGGTTAATGATCTGGGATGTGATCATGTACTGTTGTACATTGATAAAAATTTAACATCTAAATGTGCTTTAGATTTAATAATTCTGCTTCAAAATGACAGATCTTGCAATCACACCCAAGTATGAAGAACCTGTATTTCCACCAACAACCAGTTCCCCAGTTCCCATCCTGGCTCTGTAGCAATGGTATCCATTCTAAATATACCCTGGCCTTTAGTAACAAAATGTTAATATAATAAATAGACTTATTATTATTTTCTTACTTGTATTGTGGAGACTACTAAAATTCTTGCTACATTTATGCAGTGATTTTTTTTTCTATCCACCTTTCCACCAGACAAAACAGATCAAATAGCAAATTCCTCACACTCATCGTCGCTGGGCTGAAGTGACGGACATTGTTAATTGAGGGTGTCAAAATAATTTACTGCAAGTAATTAAATAAAATGGCAGGTTCCAAAGCCTGTTGAATTTTGATCTGAAGTCCGTAATCAGGGCCATAATTTAAAGCACCTGACAGAAGCTTTAATTAGAGAACAAAAATGCGAGTAGCCAGTAAAGCTGGCTGTGATGAATGGTGGAAGGTGGGGGGAGATCCCTACTCATGTCTCTTCCACAAGATCTCAAACAGCTGGCTGATACACTATCACACACAAGCACTGGCTGCTTAGGTTTGAGGAGCACAGATCCTTCCATAAGTGGTGTGAACCTGTGGCTCTGTAGCCAGGTATTCTTGGCAGGCAAAATTGTTCCAACCCTAGTCCACAGCCCTTGGTTGTGCTTTAGGCCACCGCTTATTTGAGAAAGGGATGTTGCCTGCTGCTGGTAGAGCATGAGAGCATTTGCTGGTGGGCTCCCAGCTGGTAGAGTAGGAATTTTGTCACAGCACAGCTGCAGTTAGCATTTATAATGGTTTCTCAGAGGGCTGTGAACCTGGGGTTAGTGGCACATCGTGTTGGCCATGGTTTTGCATTTGAAAATGAGGGAATAGGTCAGCCCCTTTCGGTTGTGCTCCCCAGGCATTTTGGCTTCCTAAATGGTTCTCCTGGGCATGCTAACTTGTGTAGGCTGAAAAACAGTTGTTAGGTGTGTAGAGCTGGGACCTCCCAACATGCAAAGATACAACATATGGTTTATTCTTCATGACACTCTTGGCACCAGGGGGTCACCACCCATGTTGCTTTCTAATTCCCAGACACAGCCCTACAGCCTTCCCCTCGGGAAACAGGACGGGCAGGAGGAAGGAAAGGTCATGGTTTAACTTTTTTTTTTGTAAGTTAAATAATATACCACTGAATTATGTCCTCACTAGGGGCTGTCAGGCTGGTTGTGTCAATGTGGAGTTGCAATTGCTGGGCACCATGCTGAGACATACATCTTCGGGGGAATGAAGTTATTGTATTTGCATTTGCTAATGTCTGCTGGCTCATCCGGTGGGTCCAGGTATGGTCTGGCCAGGTCTATGCCAAATATCTGACAAAACATTAAACATCTGACCTGCAGAGTTCTGACACCCACTCTCCTTCTGCACTCAGCCTGTATCAGGGTAAAAATGAACCAGCGACAAAGGCACAATTCACTTCAAACATTGGAAAGAAGAACAAACGTGATGTGTTTGCAAAGAGAAGAAGGAGAGGAAATGAACCCCTACTCTTTCTGCTTGTTGTATCAGGAGCAGCATTGGTTCAAGGGCAATTTTACCTGAGATACCCAAAGTTCAGTGTAAAACCATGATGTGGTTATGCATCAAGCAGGGAGTCCCAAACCAAAACTGGGCCACCTTTTAGCAGGATGAATAATGCTATGCTCTCTTAGCTGAACTGCTCCTATTGCTCCCAGGTGAAGTTGTTTAAGGCTTAACTCGAGATTTCACAGCAGTGTAAACATATCACCAAATACAGTTACTGCAAGAATCAATATGATTTAGTTCATACAGAGGGCCATAATTTCTCTGTTTCTGGCTTGCATGTTCAAAAGGAGGAGTGATCCCTCTGATGAAGGCAAAATATATAGGAGACAGGAGCCTGCAGATTGGGTGATACACTCATTTGCAATTTCAGCTCTTCCTTTGTGGCATCAGTTGGGAATGGGCTGGAAAGTGATCCTGGCAGCCCTGGTCACTGCATTTTTAGATATGTCAGTGGAATAAAAATATTGTTTCAGCACTTACATTGACATTATAAAAACAGAGTTCAAGGAATAGTGCCAATCTTCTGTTACCAGAACTATAATGCTCTGAACCATCCAGCCTGAAGGATAACCTGGGACCAGTCAAACAGGGAACATATGCCAGAACTGGAAGCCCTTTCTGCAGTATGTCTCTGATTACTGGTGAGGCTGAGAGAGGCTATTTCCCTCCAAAACCTCTGCAACTGATCTCAAGAGAAAACTTTTCATCAGTGGCTGGAGGTCTGGTATGACAAACATGAATCAATAGCATTGTATCTGTGGATTTATTTCCCATAATATGGGCCATGTCCAGAAGAACCTCACTGGTTCTTCTCTTTTCACTTTTTAATTCACTTTCCAAAAAGAAGAGACCCAGTATATATGGCTTCCAAGTCATGACCTTTGGATGGAAGAGACAAATCCACACTTTTCAGTCTGATTCAACTTGAAATGAATGGAAGTTGATTCAAGACTCTTGTGTCCACCTTCAGAACTCCTGTAAAATCATAAACATCAGAGGAAGAAGTGTTTCTACCCTCTCCAGGCCCTCAGAAATATAGTGGTAATTACTTCTATGAAGGTAAGACAATATGATAAAGGAAAATCATTTTAAAAAATGAGGAAAAAATCATTCTTACTGAGGCTTACTTTAAGTTAATGATAATGTTTAATGAATTGGCAAAGCCTTGCTTAGGAAAAAATGAAAAGCAAATTTTATGTATCTGGATCTTAATGATTAATAATTCTCCACAGCTAGAATGCCAGAGTAAACATAATTAACACTTTTCTTTTTAACCAATTGACTTCAGTTTTCCGTGGCCAATAAAGTTTGAAGAATTTTCTTTGGATCCAGTTACACAATCATTGCCTGGGAGGGATGACAGTCCACCATATAGCCACAGAGCGGACAAAGTAAATGGCCTAGAAAACTCCAGAATGTGTTTTTCACATCAGTATTGTGAAAAAGAAAAAAAAAATCAGTAAAGGTTTTTAATGATGATGTAAGAATGTCAAGCATCATAAACAGTCCTTGGAGAAGCATATCTTAGCTACTCAGACTTGCATGAAAATGGAGGCAGAGAGCTGTGTATTGTGTGTGGACTTGAAATGTTAATGTCTGCTTAACTTATAAAGGCAGCACTGGAGACAAAAAAACAAATGGGGGACAAATCAATTTTGACACCAGTTTTAAAAATAAGGCCTCAGCTGGTTTCAAATTTTTAACATCTTCTGACATTTTGGAAGCTTTTGCTAATTCTCCAAAGCCTAAAAGGCACTTTTCCTCTCACTGGCCTATTCCTATTTCCATCCAGATGCCACTTCTATTATTTAAGAGTCCTTCTAAAAATGCCAAAAATGTTAATCAAGGCACAACCCATGCCAAATAACTTGAGTGATTTGTATTATATTTGGAGACTGAAAATTAACCGACCATTCAACTCAATGCAAAAAAAAGAATGGCTCATGTTTAGCATTAATCTTTCCCTTAAAACCCAAATCTTGTTTTTGTTGGGATCTTGTGTGAGGTTCAAGGTGGAACTACATGAGATTAGCTATCTGCATTTGTTGGCCCACCCTCATTCCTGCAAACACTAGTCTTTTCTCATTTTCTGTTTCTCCTATACCTCTTTCCTGGCAGAGGTGGCCATGTGGGCTCTCCCAGGTCCAGGTCAGGCAGGATATAGCAGCCCTATTTTAAAAAGGGCAATGTGGAGCAACCTTGGTGAATGTGCCGGACGTTGGGTTAGGAAACGGGCAGCAGCCTCCACGTAGTAGGTGGCTAAGAGCAGAAGGTCACAGTCACATCTGGAAAAGACACATCTGGAGCTGGGACAGAAGGTCCCTCTATTTACACAGATGGCTGTAGGCAAACCTGTCCACGCTGTCATCTGGGCTGGATATGTTTCTCCTGCGCCTGGAAGCCACATGGCCAGTGTCAGGGTCAGGCTATGCCCAGGCTAATACACTAATGCAACTGTGCAACCGGTAGTCTCTTCTGACCCTCAGAGAGGCCTGTATTGCTCCCTCGGAAAGATGGTTGGAATGGTGGTTAGAAACTCCAAAATGTTAGAGAAGAAGGCAGAAATTTCTCCTACAAAAGCACCTTTTTTTTTTTAATTTTTTTGTATGGACACCCTCAGACACACTCCCATACTTTCCAGCTCCTTTAACGGAACTCAAATGACACATTGCTTTTAATTTGCACCCTCCCATTTTCATTCCCTGCATGGCATAATCAGGGTGCTATTCACTTGCATCATGTCTCATAGTGGGAGTCCTGTCTTTGTTTGTTCAAAAGTGTTCTGGATGCTGCAATTTTTTCCTTCCTCCCCATCCAAAGCAAATCAAACCTCATGTTAACAGGAAGCACTGAAAAGCCCAGCCTTTGCAGGTTCACTGTCAACCTGACATCTGGCATAATACCTGCTTGATGGCTACAGGTGGGCACTGATCTATATGTGGCGTATGCAAGGCTTTACTATCTGCCTGCCTTTTCTCCAGTTCCTTCTTCACCATACTAATTTTGTGGTAGATGGCAGAGATCTGGGAGAATCACAGGAAATCTGGCAGCTTTAATTTGATTGCTGGAAGCCAATGGGAATGCTGAAGCAGAATGCAAATATCAATAAGAACTCTTAACACATCAGTGACATACCAGTGTAGACTATGGGTTTCCACAACATCTGAGCTGTAGAGTGTCCTGGAAAGGTGGTTGTTCATAGCATGACTTTCCTACTAGTGAACACGACTGGTTATAGAGATTATAACAGGACACCAATTTCTTCAGGAGTTGTCAGTCTTGGAAGGAATTTGTAGAGGAAGGGAAAGAAGAAAAGAATGAAAACCAGCCCTAGCTACTGACTGGTTTCCCTGTTAAACCGTGACTTAAACCTTAGTCTTGTATTTCACTGTGCTGCACAGACAGATCTAAGAGTGAAGAAATCTCAGATTTCTTCAACTCAAAGTGTGGACTGAGCCCTAAGCCCGTCATTTGATAGGCTTTTTATTTACCCATCCAACTTGTAGGATCCCAGGATGACTTGGATGGCTTTATACAATGATTCTTTGTAGGATGTGGCAACCCATTCATGTGGAGCCCTGATGCTGAGCAACTCTGAGTTCATTCCTGTGCTTGAGCCATGGCAGCCTTCCCCCTGGGATGATCCCCTGTGAGCAGACAGCTCCTTCAAACAGACTTCCTTATTGTGCTGCACAACTGCACTCAGGGCAAGGGAAAAGCTGGGGACGTGGAATGGGTTTTTCCAAGAAAAACACTGATTCAAGTTCATTGGGTTGGAATTAACTCATCTCAGGATATGAAGGTTGGAGCAAGGAAAGGATCAGAATTAAGAGAAAATCCTTGACACAGGGGTGATTCCCACTGAAACAAAGTAAACATTCAAACTTTCAGAAACTATTTAAAATAAAATTGACAAAAATTTGGGCCAAGGTTGGCAGGGAAAAGGTATTCCAGGCCTTCAACAATGGTTTTTCCATGATCTTACAAGGAGTACATTGTCCAATAAGCACTATTATGCATTCAAACAGGGATTACTCTTCCAAGCCTAAAAAGCATTGTTCTTTTGTTATATGCACTTTCTGCCCATGAAGTCATGGCTTCAGACTAACAGCAAACACTGGCTGTGATATGATATTTCCACTTGGCTCCCCTCCCAATGGCTCCTGCTAGAGCCATTGTTCTCAAGGACAGCCATCCATAAAAAGTGACAACAGCAAAGCACCTACTTCCGGAGTTGCTCACTAAGTCCTGAGTACCCACATGTCATCTGCATCTTGAAATGGTCAAATAATGTTCCCCAAAATCTCTTGAATTTTTCAGAATTGTTACAACCCTTTTACCAGGAACAATTTGTCATGACCATCTCTCTGGTAGTAATTAATGCTCTTTGCTTTAACCTGGGCTGTTTGAAAATGCTTGGAGTACTTAGGATCTTATGTCCTACCTATCCAGCTCCTTTAAAAAAAACACCTTATCTCTAGACTATTTAGTCGTGTTCCAATGTCCAGTATTATTCATCTTTTAAACACTGCTAACAGAAAGCAACAAAACCTACTGCTTCATTTGGCACTGGAGTAAAGTCTTCAGCATGTCTAAGCCACGAGGGAAATTGCAGGGCTGTGCCAACTTTCACCAGCTGAGCATCGTACCAGCAGTGGTTTCAGTGTTCATGGACTTCCAACCCCCTGATGTTTGCTTCAAGTTTCAGATTGAAAGCGCACAAGAAACTTAACACAAAAATCAGACTGTAAATTTGACTTTTCCTTGGTCTCCGATCAGAACCATAAATCAACCCCAGATTTGCTTTGAACTTGGTCGCGCTTGCCCCAGAAAGTTCAGGAACTTTAATGATCCTTTGGGACAGAGTCAAGCTGATTTTAGAGCATTTACAAAGAAAACATCGAACTGGATGAATTTTATGTGGTTTTCCTACATGCCTTTGGCACTGTTCTGGCAAACCATGATGAGGATCTAGTTCAAGTAAAAATAAAGATAAACTGGGCATTTGAGTGATGTCATCAAACAACAAGCAAACAAACAAATTAAAATCATCTTAAGGATTTATTTAGTTTCACTTTGCTAGAACTTTAACAGCATAACAAGACTGTGTCTCTTTCCACTGCAATGATGTAAATCAGGAGTAAGGCCATACTGCAGCTGGGATGGTTATCGGGCTCAGATAAAACTTTTCAGATCTCTTTTCTGTGGACTTGAAATGTCTGGCCAAATACAGTTTTGGATC